TGCAGAGGGGGGAAACTGAGGCACGGAGGAGCCCATGCGTGCACCGAGTGGGTGGGTGCTCTGCTACTGCCCCACACATGCACCGAGCGGGTGGGTGCTCTGCCATCGCCCCCCGTGCATGCACCGAGCGTGTGGGTGCTCTGCCATTGCTCCCCATTCATGCACCGAGCGTGTGGGTGCTCTGCTACTGCCCCACACACGCACCGAGCGGGTGGGTGCTCTGCCATCGCCACCCCACACGTGCACTGAGCACTGTGGGTGCTCTGCCACTGCTCCCCACACATGCACCGAGTGTGTGGGTGCTCTGCCATCACCCCCCATGCATGCACCAAGCGTGTGGGTGCTCTGCTACTGCCCCACACACGCACTGAGTGCGTGGGTGCTCTGCCATCACCCCCCATGCATGCACTGAGCACGGGGGTGCTCTGCCATTGCTCCCCATCCATGCACCGAGCGTGTGGGTGCTCTGCCATTGCTCCCCACACATGCAATGAGCGTGTGGGTGCTCTGCCATCATCACCCCACACATGCACCGAGCATGTGGGTGCCCTGCTACTACCCCACACATGCACTGAGTGTGTGGGTGCTCTGCCACTGCTCCCCACACATGCACTGAGCATGGGGGTGCTCTGCTACTGCCCCACACACGCACTGAGTGCGTGGGTGCTCTGCCCCCCGCTCCCCACACATGCACCGAGCGGGCGGGTGCTCAGCCCCGGCAGGCAGCGGGCCCCATCCCGGGCCGGCGGAAGGGCAGCTGCCTGTCCCGTCACCGACGGGGGCCGGGCAGGGGGCAAACACCCCTCTCCCGTTACCGGAGATGGAGGGATAGATGGGGAGATGGTTGGAGGGATGGGGAGATGAATGGGGAGATGGTTGGAGGGAGGGATGGGGAGATGGTTGGAGGGATGGGGAGATGAATGGGGAGATGGTTGGAGGGAGGGATGGGGAGATGGAGGCATGGGGAGATGGAGGGATAGATGGGGAGATGGTTGGAGGGATGGGGAGATGAATGGGGAGATGGTTGGAGGGAGGGATGGGGAGATGGTTGGAGGGATGGGGAGATGAATGGGGAGATGGTTGGAGGGAGGGATGGGGAGATGGAGGCATGGGGAGATGGAGGGATAGATGGGGAGATGGTTGGAGGGATGGGGAGATGAATGGGGAGATGGTTGGAGGGAGGGATGGGGAGATGGTTGGAGGGATGGGGAGATGAATGGGGAGATGGTTGGAGGGAGGGATGGGGAGATGGAGGCATGGGGAGATGGAGGGATAGATGGGGAGATGGTTGGAGGGATGGGGAGATGAATGGGGAGATGGTTGGAGGGAGGGATGGGGAGATGGTTGGAGGGATGGGGAGATGAATGGGGAGATGGTTGGAGGGAGGGATGGGGAGATGGAGGCATGGGGAGATGGAGGGATAGATGGGGAGATGGTTGGAGGGATGGGGAGATGAATGGGGAGATGGTTGGAGGGAGGGATGGGGAGATGGTTGGAGGGATGGGGAGATGAATGGGGAGATGGTTGGAGGGAGGGATGGGGAGATGGAGGCATGGGGAGATGGAGGGATAGATGGGGAGATGGTTGGAGGGATGGGGAGATGAATGGGGAGATGGTTGGAGGGAGGGATGGGGAGATGGTTGGAGGGATGGGGAGATGAATGGGGAGATGGTTGGAGGGAGGGATGGGGAGATGGAGGCATGGGGAGATGGAGGGATAGATGGGGAGATGGTTGGAGGGATGGGGAGATGAATGGGGAGATGGTTGGAGGGAGGGATGGGGAGATGGTTGGAGGGATGGGGAGATGAATGGGGAGATGGTTGGAGGGAGGGATGGGGAGATGGAGGCATGGGGAGATGGAGGGATAGATGGGGAGATGGTTGGAGGGATGGGGAGATGAATGGGGAGATGGTTGGAGGGAGGGATGGGGAGATGGTTGGAGGGATGGGGAGATGAATGGGGAGATGGTTGGAGGGAGGGATGGGGAGATGGAGGCATGGGGAGATGGAGGGATAGATGGGGAGATGGTTGGAGGGATGGGGAGATGAATGGGGAGATGGTTGGAGGGAGGGATGGGGAGATGGTTGGAGGGATGGGGAGATGAATGGGGAGATGGTTGGAGGGAGGGATGGGGAGATGGAGGCATGGGGAGATGGAGGGATAGATGGGGAGATGGTTGGAGGGATGGGGAGATGAATGGGGAGATGGTTGGAGGGAGGGATGGGGAGATGGTTGGAGGGATGGGGAGATGAATGGGGAGATGGTTGGAGGGAGGGATGGGGAGATGGAGGCATGGGGAGATGGAGGGATAGATGGGGAGATGGTTGGAGGGATGGGGAGATGAATGGGGAGATGGTTGGAGGGAGGGATGGGGAGATGGTTGGAGGGATGGGGAGATGAATGGGGAGATGGTTGGAGGGAGGGATGGGGAGATGGAGGCATGGGGAGATGGAGGGATAGATGGGGAGATGGTTGGAGGGATGGGGAGATGAATGGGGAGATGGTTGGAGGGAGGGATGGGGAGATGGTTGGAGGGATGGGGAGATGAATGGGGAGATGGTTGGAGGGAGGGATGGGGAGATGGAGGCATGGGGAGATGGAGGGATAGATGGGGAGATGGTTGGAGGGATGGGGAGATGAATGGGGAGATGGTTGGAGGGAGGGATGGGGAGATGGTTGGAGGGATGGGGAGATGAATGGGGAGATGGTTGGAGGGAGGGATGGGGAGATGGAGGCATGGGGAGATGGAGGGATAGATGGGGAGATGGTTGGAGGGATGGGGAGATGAATGGGGAGATGGTTGGAGGGAGGGATGGGGAGATGGTTGGAGGGATGGGGAGATGAATGGGGAGATGGTTGGAGGGAGGGATGGGGAGATGGAGGCATGGGGAGATGGAGGGATAGATGGGGAGATGGTTGGAGGGATGGGGAGATGAATGGGGAGATGGTTGGAGGGAGGGATGGGGAGATGGTTGGAGGGATGGGGAGATGAATGGGGAGATGGTTGGAGGGAGGGATGGGGAGATGGAGGCATGGGGAGATGGAGGGATAGATGGGGAGATGGTTGGAGGGATGGGGAGATGAATGGGGAGATGGTTGGAGGGAGGGATGGGGAGATGGTTGGAGGGATGGGGAGATGAATGGGGAGATGGTTGGAGGGAGGGATGGGGAGATGGAGGCATGGGGAGATGGAGGGATAGATGGGGAGATGGTTGGAGGGATGGGGAGATGAATGGGGAGATGGTTGGAGGGAGGGATGGGGAGATGGTTGGAGGGATGGGGAGATGAATGGGGAGATGGTTGGAGGGAGGGATGGGGAGATGGAGGCATGGGGAGATGGAGGGATAGATGGGGAGATGGTTGGAGGGATGGGGAGATGAATGGGGAGATGGTTGGAGGGAGGGATGGGGAGATGGTTGGAGGGATGGGGAGATGAATGGGGAGATGGTTGGAGGGAGGGATGGGGAGATGGAGGCATGGGGAGATGGAGGGATAGATGGGGAGATGGTTGGAGGGATGGGGAGATGAATGGGGAGATGGTTGGAGGGAGGGATGGGGAGATGGTTGGAGGGATGGGGAGATGAATGGGGAGATGGTTGGAGGGAGGGATGGGGAGATGGAGGCATGGGGAGATGGAGGGATAGATGGGGAGATGGTTGGAGGGATGGGGAGATGAATGGGGAGATGGTTGGAGGGAGGGATGGGGAGATGGTTGGAGGGATGGGGAGATGAATGGGGAGATGGTTGGAGGGAGGGATGGGGAGATGGAGGCATGGGGAGATGGAGGGATAGATGGGGAGATGGTTGGAGGGATGGGGAGATGAATGGGGAGATGGTTGGAGGGAGGGATGGGGAGATGGTTGGAGGGATGGGGAGATGAATGGGGAGATGGTTGGAGGGA